AAGATCTATGCAATGAGTCTGTACATTTTGTACACATACAAGCTAAAGATTGTGAGCTGATCACCTTTAGTAGATTGCACAGTCCCAAGACTGAATTTGAGTTCAGTCACACGTAGTGCCTCGATGCTTTTGACCACTATTTTACGTGACTGTATGATAGGTTTTGTTTGCTTGTTTTTGTAGTACTGGGGATGGCTCTCAGGGCCTCATGCATGCTAGACAAGCAGTGTACCACCCTATATTTTATTTTTCTGCCTGATTTTATTTTTTCTTTTTATTTTACATGTATGTGTGTTTTGCCTGCATGAATGTAAGTGTATCATGGGCATGCACTGCCCATGGAGGCCAGAAGAGGGCATCAAATCCCTGAGAACTGGAGTTGTTAGCTACCATGTGGGTACTGGGACTGGAACCCTCATCCTCTACAAGAGCAACCACCGACCTTAACTGCTGAGCTATCTCTCCAGCCTTTTGATTTTTTTTTTTTTAATGTTAGTTCAAACTCTTTGGATTATTTCATTTGGTTAATGGTGTGAGAGATTGAACCCAGGGCCTTGTGTGTAGGTAAACATTCTACCAATTGAACTACTCTTAATATTTTAAACCCCTAATATTTTATAAATAAAAGAGTACTGAATATTCTTAGTGCCTATGCTTTGGGTCACATGTATGAAAGGCTCTGTAGGAGAGCTAGCTTCTGGAAGTGGAGTTGTGATGGGAAGGTATTTGTGTATTAAGTTTAAATAGACACTGCTAAGTTTCTTAGTAGTGTATGTACCAATGATTGACTCAGCAGAGTCCTGCCAGGTGGGGCCTTGATGCACATCTATCTCTGTGACAGTTCATACAACACACCTTCTCCCCTTTTTGGTCACTAACTGTGTGAGAATTCCTGCTTAATTATATCAGTCTTCTTTTTAGCCTCAGAAGTTTGATGAAAAAAAATTAAGCTATATTTCCCTGATTATTACTACTAGGTTTGAACTTCCTTTCCCTCCTTCTCTCCCTCCCTCCCACCCTCCCTTCTCCTCCCCATCCCCCAGTTTTTTGTTTTTTTTTAATGGATCATCTGCACTCTTTGGAAATTGTCTTCTTCCCCTATTGACACTTATTTTTCAGCTTTAACACTTTTTTGAGACAGGGTCTCACTATGTAGTCCTGCTTGATTTGAATTTCCCTATATGTAGACTAGGCTGGCCTGGGACTCACAGAGATTCATCTGCCTCTGTCTCCCAAGTGCTGGTATAAAGGCATACACCACCACACTCATCTATTGACAATCTTTATATACTCTGAATAATCCTTTGCCAGAAACATATGGCAAATTTTTGTATTATTTCTCTTTTGGGGGACTAGAGAGATGGCTCAGTGGTTAAGAGCACTGACTGCTCTTGCAGAAGACCAGGGTTCAAATCCCAGAACCCATATGGTGGCTAACAACCATCTGTAACTCCAGTTCCAGGGATCCAGTGCCCTTATCTGACCTCCACAGGCATTGCACCACATGGGTGCACTTACACGCATGCAGGCATCCACATAAAATAAAAATAATAAATTTTTTTTTTGTCATTTTGTGACAAGGTCTCCCATAGCCCCAGCTGGCCTGGAACTCACTGTGTAGACCAGGCTGGCCTTGAACTCACAGAGATCCACCTGCCTCTGCCTCCCGAGTGCTGGGACTAAAGGTATGTGCCATCAAGCCTGGCTCAAATAAAATATTTTTCTAAAAATATTTCTCTTTTTATTTTATTCCTAGAAAGTTTTATTTTGTGCATAGATCAACTGTATTTATTTATCTTTATTGTTTCTATGTTTGGCCTTGCTTAAAGACTTTCTACCCCATTTATTAAAAATAATCTATATTCTAATGGTTCTATAATTTTGTTTCTACTTTTGGCTTTATGACCACTCTGAAATTGCTTTGTAATAGGCTGGGTAAGAAATCTAGATTTATGTCTGTTTAAAGGGGAACCAATTATTTCTCACCATTTATTGAAAACGCTATTATTTCAATTCATTTGGAATATCATCTTTATGATCAATTAAACTATCTTATTTGTACAGATCTACAACTGCTTCCTCTCTTATGTGCCATTGATTTATTTTCTATTTATATTCTGGTATTAAAGTATCTTAGTTATTTTAGCCTTAAAATTTTTATATAAAGAAGGGAAAATTCGCTCTTCTTGTGTCTTTTTGAAAATGTGTCTTTGTACTTTTTTTCCATATGAACTTAGAGAAACATCATCAAAGACTATAAAGGAACACCTCTGGACATTTTCATTGGGAGTATGTTCCATTAATGGGTTGATTTTCAATAAATCAGCATTTTACAATATTTAGTAAAATTTAGAAATATTGTTTCTACCTAAGCCTGTAATGTCCATCGATTAAGTTATATAAATTTCTTTACATAGATCTTGCATCAAGTAGTTTATTTGTTGCTATTACAAATGGGGACTGTTTATCCATGGCATTAGGTTAATTTTTACTGCTAATGAATAGGAAATAATATTTTGTGTGTCTTTTTTTTTTCTAGTTACTTAACCAAACACTTTTATTGGTGATCCTTACATTTATTTATTTTTCTTGACTTATCACATTGGCCAAGAAAAGTTTGGGCCCCCCAAACTTAGGATGATATTAGTAAAAATGTCCATCTTTGTCTCCTTCCTGTATCTAATTAGAATGTCTCCAACATTTCAGCACTAGTTAAGGCAAATATACTTTACCTAACTATTCTAGTTTCTTTTCTGTTGCTGTGATAAAACTCTGTGACCAAAAGAATTTAGGGGAGGAAAATGTTTACTTGGTTTACACTTCTGGGTCACAGTCTATCACTGAGGGAGGTCAGGGCAGGAACCTAGAAACAGGAAGCATGGGGGAATGCCACCTACTGACTCTCGACTCTCACTGGCTCCTCCTCAGCCGGCTTTCTTGGTGCTGTCCACAGGCCTAGGCCCTCTTCCACATCAATCATCACTCAAGATAATCCCTCACAGACATGGCCACAGGGCAGTTTCAAGGGGAAATTCCTCAATTAAAATTCCCTCAGATGACTCTAGGCTCTGTCAAGTTGCAGCTGTAACTAGGACATCACCTCAAGAAATTTCTTTTCTATTCCTAGTTCATTGAGGAGTATGCATTTTACCATAGATGATGCTAGATTTCTGCCAATGAATCTCTGGCACCCAGAAATTGTTGAAACTAACTTGAACCTCAGCACTGACATCCTAGAAAGCCAACCTGATTTAGAAACAGCAAAATCCTTCTTCTTCCTCTCGCTCGCATTTGACTTTGGGTATGTTAAGGACAAAAGCTCCTTCCTACTCAGAAATCTTACCTATCTCTTACCACTCACAACCCTGCTTCATCCTCCTCCCCAAAATAAAATGTAAATTTTTAAAATAAATAAGAAATAGCAAGTAGCCAAGAATAAGACCACTAGTTCTGGGATTTTCTAGCAGATGTCATTGAAAAATACCATATTGTGGCTTCTAATTTAAATGGCTTTTTTTTTTTTTTTCTTCTGACTGATCATACTGAATAGCCTTTCACAGGCTCACACTGCAGCTGGTAAGGGGATTTTGTACTTTCTACTGGAGGGTGTAAGAAAAAAATCACTTCTTGACCTCTGACTTCCTGTTGAGGTTTCACAGGTGCTCAGAAGCAGGAAACAGCCTCTGCTCTTTCTCAGCCCCACCAATGCCCATGGTTAGCACAAAAGAAATGTTTCCACAATTGGTTGATAAAAATGCTTTAATCACAGAGTACATTCTTAGGTAAAGGAAGATTCTTTGCTAAGAATCTGTTTTGGTCATGCTTGTATTTGGACCATGACTCTGATGTGATTTGATACCTGTCTAGAGAACTGTCACCGTGTCCAGTGACATTTCAACTTGGGAAGCCAACACCTGCTGTAATGGCATCTGTCATATTTAGGAATGTAAAATGCTAGAGAATTCTGCAGAGCCACCTCAGTAAAATGACTTCTTCAGGAACTCTTAAGACACTGAGTGTAAACATGTAGGTAAGAAGTGTAGAAGAGAATTTAGGTTCTGAGACAAAAGTAGTCATTGATGTCTTACTATGGGCTTTTTCTCCTTGGTACAAGCTAGATAGATTTGATTATTCCTGATTATTTGGTCAAGAAAGCAAAAATCTGTTAAATAGGAGGGTCTTTCTAAAATTTCCATAGGTAGTGGTGTATATGTTCACGTGTGTACATGTGCTTGTATATGCAAGCACATGGGGGCTAGAGGTCAGCCTTCTACCTCCCCAGCACAGTGATTTCAAGTATGCACCCCTGCTTCTTTATCTTCTGGGGACTGAACTCCATTCTTCATGCTTGCATGGCAAATGTTCTACCAACTAAGTGAACTATCTCCCCATCCGAGAACCATTTATTTTTACTGGGTTAGTATAAACCAATTTTAGCCTCCAACATAAATTTCGATGTCAATTTTTAAAAAAGTCTTTTACTTATTTTTATTTTGTGCACGAGTGTTTCACCTGAATGTATATTAAGTATACCACATGTGTGCAGTGCCCCCAGAGGTCAAAGAGGGTATCAGATCCCCTGGAACCGGAGTTAGTTGCTAGCCTCCATGTGGGTGTTGGGAACCCAGGTCCTCTGCAAGAACACCCAGTGCTCTTAACTGCTGAGCCATCTCTCTAGTTCCATGATGTCAATTTTAAGGTAGAGCTTTGAGAAGACAGAGTGAACTTATCTCAGGAAAGCCCAGGTCAAGAGGGAAATGGAAGTCAGAAATCCCTGTGTGCAAGGCTGCCCCATCACCATGGGGATGAACTGTTCTGTGAGAACAGTCCAGGAGATTGGCTTGAACTTTTAGAACTGATGCTACAGGAAGTTTGGTTGACTGGATGATTCTTTTTCCTTCCTCAGCATCTTCTCTTTTCTTCTAAATCCTCAAGTCCAGAAAAAGAGTCTAAGAGCCATGATAAGGCATGAATTCAATGTCTTCTTTTTACTCTTGCAGGCAGGTGACAAACATTATCACCCCAGCTGTGCACGATGCAGCAGATGCAACCAGATGTTCACAGAAGGAGAGGAAATGTATCTTCAAGGTAAGAGAGGCTCCAGAACACAGTACGTTTTCCTTGCTGGAGAAAGATAATCTTGCTATGTTTGTTGGATTGTTTTGGGAGAAGGAGACATTTTATTAGCTAAGAGACTTCCCACAATCAACAGGAACATGCCAGAAGTTACCTCATTGGTTAGCATTAATCAGCCAAGCAATTAACACGTCGGCAGTGAGCCCAGGAGTCCGCTAAGGAATGAGCTCAAGTTGCTGCTTGGAGAAGCCGGATAAGACCTGAAGTTTGATGCTGTGGATATGAGGGAAGAGTAAAAATCTGGCAGTTGCTCCTCTTCAACTTCCCCAGGAATATGTTCAAGAAACAAAAGATCAAAAGGAGAAGGAAAACATTTTAGAAATTTCTAGAAGTATTACATATGTAATAACAACTACTTTGCCTTTTCTCCTTTGAGAGAGACCTTCCAAAGACTCCGAGCCTGCTGGTATCTGGATTTTCAAGAAGAAATTCTCATGATGAATTATATCAGACATAATTGTTGTCGGTTCATTCCATTGAGAGGACACAGTTCATATTGAACTAGAGAGCAAGAGGGAACACAACCAAAGTCCCTACAAGAGAAATTTAAAAGTTTCTGATGAAAAGGATGTCTTCATTCCCAATAAATAATAACATTTTCTTTAATTAAAAATAATTTTGTGAAAGGTCAGCATGACGGCACTTGCCTTTAATCCCAATACTTAATCCCAATACTTCTGAGGCAAAGACAGGCAGAGCTCTATGAGATGGAGACCAGCTTGGTCTACATAGTGCGCTCCAGGCCAGCTGGGACTACAAGGAGACCCTGTCTCAAAAAAACAACCAAAAAAAATAATAATAATTTTGAGAAATGCTTGCAATATAAAACTGTGATCTGTTTTGATCCCCTCTAACATTCCAAAACTTTTTTGGGGGAGGGGATGCTTTAAGTGCAAATTCTCTCCTAGTCAAACAGTACCATCTGTGCAAGCATTTTGCTATTTTTAACTGGAAAAGGAGTCATTAATTAGCCAAGGTTTTATCAGTACAATTAGCAAGCACTGTAAGAGGGAATGCTTGTTGGGTTTTGTAATTACTGGGTCTCGATTGCCTCTGCACGTCACGAATCTCTTCATTCCTCTCTACACATAACACTATGTGTGATTTTAATGAATAGTTTGCTTTGCTTTCTCAATTTTGTTTTTGTGCAGCTCAGAAAAGTCTCTAGACATGATTGTCGAGCATTAAAACACAACCTTGGTTTCTCCCTCCTTTAAAAATGCTCATTAGTTAAGAAACTGACAGCCAGGTGTCCTCTTAGCTTTAACATGCTCTCTGAAAAGCAGTAAAGAAGCACACCAGTGAGTGTCAAAGGGCCCCATGTCAGCAAGTGATAGACACCACATCTGTGGTCTTAGCTTCGTAGGTTGCATTTTCTCACGGACATGTTGTGCATCTGCAGTGGCAATATGCAGGTGTCGCTTTGCATTTTTTATACAGAAAACAGATCCATCCTTTATGCACCTCCAGCCCTGGTTATAGATTTTAACAGGTCAGTTATAGAACTCACAAAACACACTTCCAAGTACATGGCAGACTGTGCCTACATCTGCTAGGGGCAGAGAGTCAGAGGCTAGAGTGTGGCTCTGGATGTTCATAGTGGTCCCAGCAGCTAAACAGAGAAGGGGTTTGAGTTGTGCACAAATATGTCACACTCAAGACATGGCCATGCTCAGAGCCGCTACCTGATACCTGGCCTCCTGGTGCATCCTTGAAGAATGAGCAGCTTCATCTTTCTCAGCATCTGATGCTCTCTCAGGTCACATTCCTGGTGTGTTTGACCTTTGGAGAACAATGCTGTCATTGTGTGCAGACTCTGTGTTCTGGCCAGTGCCTCCTGCTCTGTAGAACCTTCCAGAGAGTGCCTCTCCTAGCCTGAGCCTGACCTTTCAGTTCTCCACATGAAGAGATTTCCTGTGCTTTGTAGACAGCCTTTGAACCTGTGTTAGTGCTGAGGGACCTGTATGTCTGTCTGATTTTGTTTCATTTTATTTCTTTTGGGGGGGGGGTGGTCCTCAGTGATACAAAGTAGAAATGATTATTAAATAGAGGGTAAAGTATTATTCTGATATAGACTATATTTCCTCTGTCATCAACGTAATAGTATTTTGGCTCAGCAGAATAAAGTGATTTATGAGTTAACTTGGTGACTTTTCCATTGCACACTGATTGCTGCTTCAGGAGGTAAAGGTTGAAACTGACAGAAAGAAAGACGAGTTTATAATGAGACTCTTACACTTACCACTCACCACTTTCTATCTAGTGACTGTACTGGCTTGAGCCTTTTTGAGTAGTCTAGGTCCTTCTGTCCCTCCCACATCTGAAGAAACCCGCATAGGGACATTAGACTTACATATCAGCCTTGCCCCTAGTCATATGAATAACATATGTATCTGGTCATACACAATCATATGGCAGGTGTTGAATTTTTAAAATAAGAACTTTCTTTTGGAGGTAAGTATGTTTAATTCTGTGATGCTGGTACCACCCATGAAAACACTTCACAGTCTGAAAAGGGAGACCTTTGAAGTGCGAACAGGAAATAACAGGCAAATAATTACTAGTTTAAAACGAAAAGCCCTCTTTTTAAGTTAAACAGTTGAAGGATTCATAAACTAACTTTAACTCTCTGTCACTAAGATTTCCCATCTTAGTTCAGGCAACTGTACAAACAGATCAATAAAAAATTCAGTAAGTTTTACATCTGGATATTGGCTTTCTAGTTTAACTTCATTTCTCTCAATTAAATTGCTTGGGTGTTTCGATGTTGTATAAAACATGACTTTTAATTCTGAAATTAAATGCTCAGGCATTACATTTAAAGGATAATGATGTGGTTTTTTTTTGTTGGGTTTTTTTGGGGGGGTCTTTTTGAGACAGGATCTGCCTGTAGCCCCAGCTGTCCTGGAACTTGGCGGGGGGAGGGAGAGAGAGAGAGAGAGAGAGAGAGAGAGAGAGAGAGAGAGAAAGAGAAAGAGAGAGAGAGAAAAGAAAAAGAAAGAAAATGACCCTGTTAAAAGCTAAATATCTCTTAAACATTAGAATGTTCTCCGGCCCAGCTCTGTGGTCTAGAATTGTAGCCTGTATAGACCAAGCTCAGGAAAACTCACCCAGAGAGGAGAGTCATAGGACTCTTGGGTGTGGGACTCTAACACACTCCTTAGGAAATTCTGCTTAATAGGACGATGGCTGCTTTCCATTTCCTTTGTTCTTAGGTGCCTTGTGTCTTTCTAGGTTCTACCGTGTGGCATCCCGATTGTAAGCAATCCACCAAGACAGAGGAAAAGCTACGGGTAAGGAGACCATCAGAGCTGGGATGTCTGGGGGCATTTGGAGGCCACTAGCTCCTGGGGTTAGAATTTAGGTGAAACTGACATTTTTCCTTATAGAAAATCCAACTTCAAAGGCTATTTGGACAGCTAAGAGCTTCCACCCCCACCCCCTGTTTAAATTTATTGTGATTTTGTTCCAAATGTCTGTGTTGGACCTAATAAGTCTTATCTTACTGGCCAGCTTCTTAGAAGAGTGTTCAAGGAAAAGTCAGTACAGCTGGGGGGAAATGATTCATCAAGCAACACATAGTGACCCTCTTGCCAGATCTTTTCTGTACTTAGCCCATAGTGCACCACTTTACCCCAAACTCTCGATCCATTGCTCAGCTCTGGGTCTTTCACTGACTCTTCAAATCCAGTTTCATTAGATCAGTCTCTAGCTCTAGAAGGTGATGACTGTGGTCAGGTAAAACCCTAGGGAGAAAATAGTGATGCCCTCAGCAGTGTGAATCGGTCATTGCTCAGAACACCTCCAGGTGTTCTGTTTCAGAACAGGTCCGGATCATAAACCTGGATCCTATTCACATGTCCCCAGATTCTCACCTGAGCTGACATTTTTCTTCACAGTGACAGTCAGACTCAATCCTAGTCCCTCTGTTTAGCCACTTTAGGGATACTCAGGGGAAAACTGGAGTTTGACTTCAGTCCTCCTGTTCTCTCAAGGAAAGAAATGCTTTGGATTTATTTTGGAGGCCAGACTTGAGGATACAGCATGAATCCTCTTTGGCCTACCTTAGGAGGCTGATGTGTGCTGTTGCCCACATCAGACAGCCGATTCATCCAGGGACCTGGTCACTAGTGTATGACTTGTTAAGGGATGACTTGGTCTCCAAGAAACAATCACTGGATTTTCAGGTCCCTTTATAGGCCCCCTCTTGGAAATGAAGTTCATCTCTTTATTCTCTTCACTGAAACATATGTACATGGCAGCTTTTATTTTATTTTTCTATTATGTTATTGGGGTCAACAGGTGATAAAGAAACATGAGAATAGCAGAGGGACTTGCTCACCAGTATTGGGATGGTTTTTTTCTGCTTCTGGCAGACGACTTCAATCCACGCACACATAATTAATTGCTCTTGAAGTCCGTCCCCCAGTCAGGCTAGACTTGGTATTTGGCATCCTCATGGGTGCTAGGGCACTGGGCTATCTTTGCAAAACATTAAAGATAGTTCTTGTGTTGCTTTTGCCCTAAGAATGTTAAATCTGTAGCCTAGCTGGGGCTACTGCCCAAGTGGCTAGCTGTTTGCAACCACTCTAACAGTGTTGCTTTTCCTTGTTATCAAATAATTATTTTTATTTCATCCCTGATGAAGTCTTTTGGGGAATGAAGGAGGGGAATGCTTATGAGGCCAGACATAATGGAATGTGTGTCTTTTCTCTGAAAGGATAGCTGAGTTTGCAGACCATGTGTAAAATGACTTTTTTTAAACCAACACTCTTGACCATATCTTGATGGAACTCTATGGAGAAGCTTATGAAAACAGCTACTAAAATATTTTACTCACTCTGGCCAAGAAGAGCTTTTCTCCTTTGTTTTGTTCCTTTAGTAAGCTTTCCAGAAAATTCCAGAGCCCTTCTCTGTGGTATCCTACTTGGGAGGTAGGTTGCCTCCCTGGTCACTGTCTTCAGGAAACCCAGTAGTGAGGGATAGGCTACACCTCAGAGGGAAGAGGTTCTGGCATGCTCAGAGTCAGGGTACAGACTAATGTAGGTGGGGTTTAGAGAGGAGTAGGTTTTCAACGGAGGAATAAATCTCGTGGTCTCTTAAGGGTGTTGTCTACACATCACACATCTGGAGCCAAGATTTCCAGACCTTTAACCACATGTCACATTAGAGCAGTTTCCATAGCAAAATAAAAATGTTTAAAGACTCTGAGTAATCCTGGAGTGAGCCACATTCCTGATATTTAAGAACTCATGGGGCGTTTGGAACAACAGTCTTAAGAACGCCTCTCGAACCTTCTTGTTCGTGTGCTAGAAGCACAATGAAGCGGCAGTAAATGGAAAGGATTTGATGGGTGGTCAGAATGCAGATAAATATTCCGTAGTAGATAAAGACACTACAGTTTGGAGACCAGTTAATATGCTTTTAATATGGGCTTAATCGACCCCTAAGTGGCACATGTGCACATCACTTGTTTACTGTTCATTCTCTCTTAGGCTTTCTACTCTTTAACTCTTCATAGCATTTCTGAATAAGGCGGTTTTGTTGTTTATTCTCCTTTTCTCTCGTGTTTCATGGCAGCCACCAAATATACACCGTTCTTCATCCGATTTCTTTTATCCCAAAAGCCTGATTCGTCGCACAGGACGGTCCCCAGCTCTGCAGGTTGGCACTGTGTGGGGGCCGAGGCTTAGAGCCGCAGTCCTGGGCCCAGGCTTCTGTTGCTACCCCCTCATCCCCCATCCTCTCCATCTCCTTCCTATGCCCCCCATCTCCTGCCCCTAAACCCAGGCTGCTTTTCACCTAACCTCCTAGCTCTGTAGAAAGTAGATGCTTTCTTCATCCAGTGAGTGTGCCGAGTGTGCCTCGAGTGTGCCTCACACCCTAACTAGGGTTCTTTTCTTCTCTGATAGTTTTCCTCTGGCGCAATGGCTAAAATGTTTTGATTAAAGTCAGCACACAGGAAGCTGCTATTTTGTCTTAGTTCGCACATTTGTTCACTGAACAAATATTTGCCATGCATTTGGGACAGTGCTGGGACAGATGCTATACATCTAGCCTCATCGGGGTAGAAAAGACAGATTCATGAGGATATAATGGGCCAGAAATGCGTCACAGGACATGGATTGCACAGATCATGCTTTTGGTCATGTCAGATGAAGGAAAAGGTCTCAAGGGTTCTTCTTTCTAGAAGCAGTCTGTGAGAGTTTGGGGGACAGATAGGATTTGAACATATGGAGATGGGGAGGGAGGGGTGGCCTGATGGGCACACAGACACTGGGAATCGGGAAAGCATGCCTAGGAAGGGAGTAGTTTGGTTTGAGAAAGGATTCTGAAGGAGGAAAGGAAAGCAGGTTGACCAGCCCCCACCCTATGGAAGCAGGACCTGCCCTCTCATTGGCTCTGCTGAGAGCTCCTGTAGGGGAGTCAGTCTTATTTGCATCTTACCGGTGGGACACTGAGACTAAGGCCTCTGCCATACCTAGGTAACATCCCCAGAGTCACCCCATCGGTAAGCAGAAGGGCAAGGGTTGGAGCCCAGGTTTCTGTAAGCCCATTAGCCATCTTCTTTCCCTTGTGCCCCAAGTGGAGGGAGAGGGTACAAGAATGTGAGCTTACCTGATGGAGGAGAACCATCCTGCTGGCTGAGGCCCTGGTAGCAGTGAGGAGGAACACAGCAGGGCTCTTTGCAGGAGCAGGGTGGGGCTTAGAGAGCTTATATCTCATGTCTGACTTCACTTTCTTTGAGTGTCCTTGAAATCAATGGGACCCAGGCCTTTGAAACCAGAGGTGACTTCTAGAAATCTCCCTATATTAGCCCAGGTGAAACATACTCCACAGCTGTGCTGCAACCCAGCCAGCACTTGTGTTTGAACTCTGTGCCGCCACTTTCTTCGTAAGCCCTCCAGAACATCACTAAGGAGGACAAGTATTGGGGCTTCTATTTTTTACTAAACTTCATGTTCTTTCTTTAAACAATTTGAAGTTAAGAAATTGAAAGTGGTAGGCACCCCTTTAGAGGTAAGCCCCCTAAGTTTCTCTGGCTCTAGAATGAAGGCAGACAGAGGAGCAGCTGCCCACATCTGCACAAGCTATGAACACCAAGACACTATAGACTCAGGTTCTCTGCCTCCAAGCTTTGGACCCTGCACTGGCCTGTGGTGCCAACCCACATGCCAGCTTAGTTAGCATAGGATTGTTATTCAATTTTGAAGCTCAGCCATGGTGGCAGAGTGTCCTGAAATCCCAGGAGCAGCTGAAGATCTATGCCCCTTGCAAACAAGCTTGGTCCAATCAGTACCTCCATTTGGCAGCAAGTTTCTTTTTCAGTCATTTTTTTCCTCAATGGTGTATTCTTAACTCAATTAGTGTTCTATCTACCTCTCCTCACCACCACCACAAAAGCTGCGGCCAACTGACACATTTTTCCCAACTTGAAGGAAAAAATAACATTATCAGATCCCAGGGGTTCAAACCAGCGACCCCCGGTGAGGTGAGAATTGGGATGAGTAAGCACGCCATTCGCCAGCCCATGCCACCCCCAATACCGGGAACACTCAGGTGCAACGGGGAGCCTAGTCAAGCAGGGACTCATTTATTGCAGGTGTTACAGAGCTTATAAAGGCACCTGGAAATCCCCCCTCCCCCCCGAGGGTGTATCTTAAGGATGGTCATGTGCTGATCATGCACTCCTCAGCAGTGCAGAAGTATTCTTCAGACTTTCAAAGCAAGCCAGGCCGCGCCCCCAGTAACTTCCTCTGGGACCTATGCAAAGTGGGGCCTTTAGGTCCCCACATATCCCCCTTTTTATTTTTATTTTAAGGCTGGACTGACTTTATTTCATGGGTTACCCACCTCATAGGCGGCTCCCTGAAGAGAGGTGGCTATCTTCTTCCTCTAATATTATGCATTTTTGCCTGTCTTAGGTTGTGTCACCTCTGATCAAGCCTTGCCCGTCAATGGATCATGCACCTGGCCATGTGCATGTCCTGTCTTAGGAGTACTTATCTTATCCAACCTTGGCTAAAAATGCGTCATGATTAAGGGCAGCTGAGTGGTTAATGCCAGCCTGTGACAGTTTTAGTCTCTGCCTAACTCAGTTAGCCAAGCATGGGCAACTGGAGGGGGTCCTGGGGGAGTCCGTAATCATGAGGAGGTGGGCCATGGCAGTTCCAAGAGTCCTCTGTTGCTGAATTATCTGGTAAAGACACTTAAAGATAAGCATTATCAAGAGAAACAAAGCAAGTCATGGCGTAGGACAAGTTGAAATACTTCTGAGACCATGTAACTTTTA